TGTCTGTTAGCAAAATATAGATTTTTTAATTTAAAACACGCCTCTCTTGTAAATGAGTCCGTCCATCCATCCATTGTCTTTACCCACTTCTTCCTTTTCGAGTCATGGGGGGTCACCGGTACTCATATCCAGCCATCACTATGTGAGACATGGGGGACACCCTGTACAGGTCTCCAGTCCATCACAGAGACACATAGAGACAAACGAGACAAACAACCATTCACTCTCTCTCACACACTTAGGGATAATTTAGAGTTACCAATCAGCCTAACATGCATGTTTTTGGTCACGCATGCACGGAGAGAACGTGCAAATTCCACCCAGAAGGGCCCCCAGAACGGGATTTGAACCTAGGCATGTCACGATAACAAATTTTACTGGGCGATTAATTGTCTAAGAAATTATTGCAATAAACGATAATATTGTTTGAAATTTAACAATAATTGTCAAATTTTAGAAGAAATGTTGATTTGTTTGGTGTGTAGTACCTTTTTTGACCACCTGATGGCAGTATAAGACTGTTTGAACCAAAGGATGGATAGTTGAGCAGTGTCTCTTTAAGAAAAGTGGGAGGGAGGGCCCTTGACGTGACATGGGCTGACATGGTGACATGGCAGACGCTTGGTGATTTGAGCTCTTTAGCATTTTTCACACAAAGCTTTTAATAAAAAAATCAGTAAAGAAGTTCTCAACTTCCTTTTGCAGAGAAAAACAACTTTTTACATGAAGGCACAGGTTTCAACCGTGAATTATGGAGCTTCGACAAGCCGGAGCTTTATTCCCGAGGTCGGCCTATTAACTTAGCTTGTAGCTTAGCGTCTCAGCTTAGCTGCTTTAACGATCCAAAAATGCGATTTTGGACGGTTAAAACAGATTTTAAAGAGAAAGGTCAGTGAAGAACACCGGAGTTGATCTTTTTGTCATCCAGTGTCTTCAGTAGAAAGAGAGACACGAAGAAACGATAAAGCTGATAAATGAAAAGAAGGTCAATAATTTTCATTTATCATGCGATTAATTGATTTATTGTTTATCGTGAGAGGCCTATTTGAACTGGCAACCTGCTCTCTGAGAGGCAGCAGCTCTACCAACTGCGCCACCGTGCTGCCAGAACGAAACCCATGAACTTTATTGAAACTTGTAGGAAATAATCACTAGATAAACATTTATAATAAATTATTTTAGAGTTAACCCAATTCAAGATGGCTGCCACAGACAACTAATTAAAAAGAAACACAAAAATGTCAACGTCAGATAATTTTACAGATAATGGTCTACAACTTGCTGTGGTAGTAGCTGAGACTGATTCAAACACATATTCTGAGTATAAACAGATTGTGCAACTTTTCCATTAACTACCGTATGTTTCGGACTATACGGCTCACTGTCGATTTTTGAGAACATTCAAGGATTTTAGGTGCTCCTTATAGTCCGAAAAATACGGTATTTAGAGTCAACTCTGTCTGCCTGTTAGCAAATGATCTCATAAACCGCTCCACAGACCTTAATAAAACCACCTGGGTGCACATCTACAGCTGATTAACTTTTGGAGCCCATACAATTTAAGATGGCTGACACAGCCAATCAGCATGAGCTTACACAAAAATGGCTGTAACAGTCAACATTCAGCTAAACTTCAATGTGGTAGTAGCTGAGAGTCGTTCCCAACCCATCCTCTGAGTTCTCATCATTCTGCAGAATCGATACCCTTGTTTTTTTCCAAGGTTGCCTCGCCCGTCCTTCCACCTCAGATTTCCTCATCTGCTCCACACTAATTGCAGATGAGAATCTAATCTAAAGCTAAATGAGACTTTTTAATGATGAAGCGTGACCTCGCACATGTGACGGGGGACGCTGGATTTAAAACGACGCAGAACTCGACTGCACACTTTAGCGCACGCTTCGAGCTTTATCTGTGATTTGAGCCAACAGATTGCCTGAGTAACAAAAGCAACTGCTCTTTGAGCCGCAAATATTTGACAGCCCGAATGTTTGCTCTCTCATGAGCCTCTGAACGTCTGTGCCACATGTTTGGGTATGATAATGAGCAAGTGCATGCCCCCCCCCATTTATTAAACTGCTTCATGCTGCAGACAAACATCATCAAGATCTCATTATTTCCAACATCTTCTGAAATAAAGGACTTAATCGTTTCCACACACGGCCTGGGAATACTTTAATCTTGCAATGAAGTCAGATACAATACGTGAATGTTCCTCCACAAACAGAAGCCGCAAAGTAAACATATAAAAAGGCTGATAAAATGCATTTTATAATCACTCCTCTTCTTTAATGATAGCAATGAAATTAGCTACCAAAAGCCCAAATAAACAGATAAGATGAAACAGTTGCTTCTGCACGATTTGGTTCATGCATTCGTTAGTGTCCGTTAGAGTGTGCGTTCCCCTCATGATGCACCTTATTTACCTCTTTATCCATTCATTAGTCCCGCCCACATTCAGTCACGCTAATGTAAATATGGAAACGTGGAGAGGAAAAGCTCAGCGGTGGAGCATTTTGCTGCACTGCATTTCAAATACTCCGTCTGTTTTACTGAAATCAACAGATTTCTGTGGAAGGACAAAAAGTCCAGGTGACGTAATTAATGCTCGTCATAATTTTAGCGGTTAAATTGAAGGCCTTTGTATTGATGATGTGCAGGTTGCACATCTGCACCACATCTTTTTACAATCAGTCACCGTTATTATGCACTTTTTACAGTTCACTACCATCACTTATAAGCTCAATTAAACTAAAAATAATCTGTAAAGTCAGGCCGTGCAGATCAGTGAGTCCACCCTCACCAAAGAAACGACACAAAGATCCTTCCATGGACTCAGTCTGATGAAAAGACAATTAAATGGTACGGTAATTATTTTGGCTGGGATGTAAAAGAGAGAATATTCTAAACAAATCAGGTTGGATGTAGTGAAGACGTGTTTTTTTTAAGGTTTCTTGGGTTTTGTTTTGTGGTGTTTTGTAAGTTTGAAGTGTTGTCATTTTGTACCTGGTTTCCTTAGGTTCACTTCCTGTTTCTGACATAACATCTGCTTCCTGTTTCTAATCAACACACCTGCATACTGTAAATACTTCCCGCTGTGTATAATTGTACATTGCTGCAGCTGTCAGAGAATATTGGTCATTTTCAAAGGAAAATTGTTGAATTAGAGTTAGTCATACTTGTTAGAAAACTAGATACACCAGTAACTAAAAACCAAATGAGCTTCTTAATCTTTTTCTTAAATCAAACTTTTCTAACAGAAATCATCTTTTTAACTCTAATTATTTAGTTTTTCTTTGAAATGGGCTATTTTTTTTTTTTGTCTGACAGCTGCTGTAGCACAGGGAAATCCCTTCATATAATGTTCTAAGCTTGGGACATTTCCCCGTTTAAATATAGGGCTGGAATTCCTGATGACATCACTTGTAAACAACTAGTTTGTTGCCAGGTGGGAAATTACTCAACAAAACTTCAGATCGTTTCTGAAGCTTTTGGGATGAAGAATTTTAAAATAAGTCAAAATTGAAAGTTGACTCAGTTTGCCAGAACAAATCAAAGTAGAACTTGACAACACGTATCTGTGATTTCTTTGCACCACCAAAGGCAGGGGGTATAGCTCAGTGGAAGAGCACTTGACTGCAGATCAAATGGTCCCCAGTTCAAATCTGGGTGCCCCCTTTTAATAGTTCAGATTTATAAAATGTGGGAAAGTAGTTTCTTCATTTTGCCTTTAAATGCCAAACTACATAGAAAAGAAGGAACCTAAAAGCCAAGATGTTTTCTGGACACCCATTCAGAAAATGTGACCCAGGTGGGTCAGAAACGGATTTATTACTGAGGGAATATAGACAATGAGGATCAGAAACTTTGCAGTTACCGTATTTTTTGGACTATAAGGCACAGCAATTAAAATCCTTTAAATGTCTCAAAACTCAACAGTGAGCCTTATAATCCGGTGCGCCTTATTTATTAATTCTGGTTGTGCTTATTGATCTCGAACAGATTGTATGTGGTGCACGGCGCTCAAAAGTGTGTATTGATTTGTGGGGAGTGGTGGCGCAGAGGTTAGAGAAGGTAGACCTGTAATCGGAAGATCGATGGTTCAACTCCTGGTACTGACAACATCAAAATGTGGGTGGGATAGGTGAAGTTCCCACACCTGTCTCCACCCTCATTTGCCCAACTCCAGACCCTTGAGCAAGGACCCTAGCTCCCCTGGGTGCTCTAGATAGCAGCTCCACTTCACATAGAGAGCTGTGGTAGCTCGGTGGTCTGTGGTTGCGTCAGGAAGGACGTCTGGTGTAAAATAATTGCCAAGTGACTTAGTTTGCTGTGGTGACTCCTGAAGAAGGAGCAGCTGAAAGAAGAAAAACAGTTTTGTGTTTGAGTGTATTGTTTTATGTGGCACAACTGAACAATATTGAGAGTTATTGTGAATGAGTTGAATAAAGTTTGACTCATCTGACTGTTTTGTTTCGCTTAGTGCGCCTTATAATCCGAAAAATACGGTAGTTAAAAAAAATAGCTAACCGCAAAGAGGATCGCTAAAGTGCGCTGTTTCATTATGCTTTGTAACTGGCACGAGAAGTCCAACACACTTGAATGCATCGTGCTCTACTTCAACCCAGCTGAGTTCTGCTTCACGCCTCTTGTGGTTCTGATCTTCCTGCTCGTGTCTGAGCGGGGCGTGGACGGCTTCGTCAGTGATTTATGAATGGCCAGTAGGAGCGTAAAGACAGACTGACCTGTGCTGCCAATTAGAGCCAAAAGAGTAGGAACCACCCTTTGAGGGGTTCAAAAAACTTTTAGTAGGAAATTATTATACAAGCTAAGAATCTTACAGCGAACCCTGATTAAATCAATCAATCAACCTTTATTTATACAGGTAAATCCCACTGAGCAATTATGACGTACACTCATAAAGCCAATGAGAGCTTTCAAGATGATGCAGCAAATCAAAGATATGGACAGATTGTCACACCGACGCTCTCCTTAATATCAAAGGGGGCACCCGGATTTGAACCGGGGACCTGTCGATCTGCAGTCAAATGCTCTGCCACTGAGCTACACCCCCACCTGTGTGGAACAACAGCGTAATTGTTATTAATTCACAGAAAAACATATTTATTCATGTTAAAAAAATGCAAAGGTAATGGCCTCACTGCAGAACTTTGAATGAAAACTCAAAAAATCGAAGAACAAAAAACGCTTGAACGAGTTGTAAGAGAAGTTTAGGATGGAAAATATTTTCAGTTGTTATTAAAGCTGGCAGAGCTTTGCCATAAGATTTTAATTCCTACTTTAATCTTTAGGCGAATGCCACTACGCCACAGTCCACCCACTTATTCAAGACGGTTGTCCACAAAAATCTGTTTCTGAATTATGTCAAATACACAAAATTAAAAACACATATGCCAGATCAGCTTTGCAGCGAAATCTACACCTCCGCTTCACGTTGTTGGCACAACTGTTGACTGATTCTCTTAAATCCCTTTACAGACTGGTTCCTACTCTCTTGAGTTATTTAAAATACACTTTGGACGCAGAGTGTCTGTCTTTGACATTTCGTTTCCTTCTTTTCTGTGCATTTATACTGACACATACTGGAAATAAATTAATAATTTGTTCATTTCAGCCCTATAAAGCAACCAGTGGCACAATATTTGATCCCAGCATCCTCTCCTTGTTTGGTTGTATGATAAGTTTTCATTTACAGCTGAGCTCATTTATCATCTGTAATAATTCTGCAACACAAATAAATATAGTTTTCAGTGAAGTCATAAGAGTTTCCCTTTAGCTGAGTGTTGAGGGGTGTAGCTCAGTGGTAGAGCAGTTTGACTGCAGGTCAAGAGGTCCTTGGTTCAAATCTATGCACATCTCAAAAGTTCAAATAATACCTCAACTACAGCTCCAAATCACAAAATGAGTTGAAAAGGAGGTGCCGTGGATGCTTTCCCATCTACCTGGAGGCGGTGCTCAAGTGCCTGCATCAGCAACCAGTTTTTTCGGATCTGCTGTGGGACAGACTGCTACAAGAAATCCTTCCTGCCCACAGCTCCAACTCTAATGAAACCTGGATGAGCAGCAATTAATTAAATTTAATTTTGAATTGAATATGAAGATTGTCACAGATTTGAACTAAGGACCACTTGATCTGCAGTCAAGCGCTACCGCAAGATGTTTCTTATTGTCCTCCACTGCACAGTGACAACGGGGAAATGGAACTACGCTCCATCTGTTTGTCTTGTGAACTGGATAACTTGAAATATAAGTGAGGTACTGACACCATTTTGGCTTCATTCCTTAGATAATTAACTTTTACTAATTGGCATTTATAATATATGTGAATGTTTCTGTTCAGTGCCCTGAGACTTCTGTTGTGACATGGCGCTCTATAGATAAACTGAATTGAATTGAGTTGCAGCGGCACAGTGGCTCTGTTGGAAGAGCTGTTGCATCTCAGCGAGCAGGTCGCTGGTTCAAATCCCAGCCCAGGACCCCTCCGGGTGGAGTTTGCATGCTCTCTCCGTGCATGCGTGGGATTTTTCTGGGTACTCCGATTTCCTCCCACAGACCAAAAACATGCATGTTAGGCTGATTGGTAACTCTAAATTGTCTCTAGGTGTGAGTGAGAGAGTGAATGGTTGTTTGTCTCGTTTGTCTCTATGTGTCCCTGTGATGGACTTGCGACCCGTCCAGGGTGTACCCCGCCCCTCGCACAGTGATTGCTGGACATGGGCACCAGCGACCCCCGTGACCCAAAATGGAATAAGCGGGTAAAGATAATGGATGTATGGATGGTAACTCTAAATTGTCCCTAGGTGTGAGTAAATGAATGGCTGTTTGTCTCTATGTGTCCCTGTGATGGACTGGAGACCTGTCCAGGGTGTCCCCCGCCTCTCGCACAACGCTAGCTGGACATGGGCACCAGTGACCCCTGCAACCCCAAAATGAAAAAGCGGGTAAAGATGGTGTGTGTGTATATATACTGTATATTTCTGTGTGTAAATTCATTATTGCTTCTGACCAAGGCCACCATTGGCCACCCCCTGGCATCCCCCCTGGTGGATGAAATTGCTCTCTTCACTAATCGGACGCGGTCACTCTGTGCTTCCTCTGACAAACAACAAAATCATTAAGGTTTACTTGCACGCTCAGTTCCAGTCCAGAAAAACACTCATCTCAAAAACCACAAACACTCACTATTCAAATCCCTCAGGGACGGGGGACATCTGTGTACCGCTTGTTTTAATTAGTGATACATCCACAGAAACGGGCACACCTCTGCTAAAGGGCTACTGTGGACGTGACTCTAAACGAGCTTCTTTGTGACATGCTACTGCAGCAGAATGCTCTAAATCAACAAGTTGCATTTATGAGCGGAGAGGATCAATTAGATTTATGTGCTGATGTGCACCAAGAGCCCATCAGGTTGTGTTCTTAATGTGAGAGCGTTTGTGAACTGAGAAGCTTTTGATGTGCTTTTAAACCCTCTGCCATCAAGCTAACCTCCCCTACACACATCTGAGTAACAAGAAGTGACAGCAGCAGGTTTTTTTCTACATTATGTCAGCAAAAGATCAAAGCAATAAATCCACTCCACCACCGTGCCGGCTGAGTCTGCAAAGACTGCCTCCGCTGTTCTGATTTATCGTTTACAACTCCCAACTTAGTCTGACTGTTGCTGCTGTCGGGTGCCGTTTGTAAAGTTACACTGTCAGAAATTAACAGCAATATTTTTGGTTTATAAGAAGAAAAAAATCCAGTCATATTTTCACCATGTCATTCATAAATTTATAAATGTCATACTTCCAAACTAAATATTTAATTTAAAAGCTAAATAGTTTACAAATTAAATAATAGTTAGCAAGATAAATATTTAGCCTCACAATAAATATTTAGTTTACAAACTAAATATTTAACTTGCAAGTTAAATAATTAGTGAACTAAATATTTAGATATAAATTCAAAATTTAATTTCCAATTGAAATATTTATTTTCAAAACTAAATATTTAATTTCCAATCAAAATGTTTATTTTCAAAACTAAACATTTAATTTCTAAACTAAATTTTTATTGTCCAAGCACAAATATTTAATTTCTAAACTAAACATTTAATTTTTAAGCTAAACATTTAATTTTTAAACTAAATATTTAATTTGCTAAATGAATATTTAGCTTAGACCTGAATATTTATTTTCCAAGTTAAACATTTCAGTTCCAAAACAAATATTTAATTTGCTAACTAAATATTTAGCTAGGACCTAAATATTGATTTTCCAAAGTAAACGTTTAATTTTAAAAATAAATATTTATTTTGATTTAGTTTGTAAATTAAGCTTTTAGCTTGGACATAAACATTTAGTTTGTAAACTAAATATTTAGTGTGGAACTAAATATTTAGCTTGTTAACTAAATATTTAGTTTGGAACTATGTCATTTATAAATATATGAATAACTTGGTGCAAATATGACTTTGAAAAAAATTAGCTTTTTTCTTTATGAAAGGCAATAAACCAAAGTATTGCTGTTCATTTTTGACTGTGTAACTTTACAAACGGCACCCCATATACTTCTACCAAGAAGTGTCACAGTGTGATATTGTGTAAGAGCAGCCCTCAGTCCTGCAGGCGTCCCCTGTGGGTGACGGTTAAATTATGATCGTTAGTGTCAACACAAATAACATCCCTCGATTAGAAAGAAAATAGAGTTGGTGAACTTCTGAGGACGTCCAGTTTGTCACATGAGCCCAGAAGTGACATTTGAACACTTGTAATTGTCACGAGAGGGAAACCTGTTTGAAAGGAGCTGCAGACTTTGATTGACACTCCGGGGAGGATTTATGGACTGAGTTCAGTGAGGCGTGCCGAGATAAGAAAAGAAGCTGAGATATATTTGAGCTGGGGAGTGGATTTGGATGAGATCAGACGGACATGTTTTTATTGTTCCTATGATTTGAGCTCCACAGGGTGAGAGTGTAAGTCGAGGAGGGCGAGCGGAGGCTGAAAGCAGCACAGAATTAGGATCAATTTTCTCCCTTAATGTGGCTGAAATTCAGCTCAGAGGGTTCAAAGCAGCTTTTCTTTACATTTGATTTGATATAAAATGAGTTTTATTTGTTGTTTGCAGCGTCTCCTTCTTCTGCCATGTCAACAATATTAGAGCTATACATTTTAAGTGGAAGCATTAAAGCTAATTTCAAAATGTCAGTTGGACTTTTAACACAAAATGAATCTTTTCCGCGGTGTTTAAGACATGAATGAAATTATAATTTTTCATGTAATGTAATAATAAATCAAAACTGGCATCACCTTTTTTAAAAGCGCAAACATGAGGTTTTGAAAAGCCCCTTTTTTCAGCTGATTAATTTGTACTTTCTGCTTTTTTAGTTGCGCAAACATTTGGCTAAATCGTGAATAGCGGGCTATGAGTTTCTGCCTTTTATCTTTTTTTTTTATTATTTGACTTTAAAGTCCACCCATAGAAATATATCAAGATCTGCTGAATACCATCAAAAATGTTCTTTGCATTCAGCTTTGGCACACCTACTAAATGTTTGTCTTCCTGCATCTCTTTTTTAGCTTTTAGCTACAATTGTAGCCTTTGGCAACAGTTTTGCTAATTTGTTACAATTAGTTATTAGCACCTGTTTAGCTGCATTTACCTGTTTGCTTATGCCTTACAAATTGTAGCTTTAAACTCTGGTTTGCTAATTGTTGCTTTTAGCTACAGTTTTGCCAACTATAGCTTTGGTTAGCTTTAAACAAGCTTTTACACTCTTTTTTCCTCACCTTATTTTAATTTTTAGCTACGTTTTTTTTTATTTTAACTTGTTTCACTAGTTATGCTAAATTTTGCTTAAATCTATTGTTTTGCTAATTGTAGCTTTTAGCTACTGTACATATTTTCTAACAGTAACTTTTAGCTACCGTTTTGCTAATAGCAAATATGTAGCTATATATGTAGCTACATATTTGTTAACAGTTGCTTTTAGCTATTGTTTTGCTAATTGTAACCTGTAGCTATTTATTTGCTAACAGTAGCTTTTAGCTATTGTTTTTGCTAATTGTAGCT